GGGACCGTGACCCAGTTCGAGCCAATGAGGCAGGCGGGAAGAGGGAGCACATGGCTCTGCGCGTGCTGCCTGACCCGCCGAGTGGGTAAGGGGTGGGGGCGGGTGGGAGAGGCGCCGCTTAATGGAGCCGCATATCCAAACGATTGTTTGGGGAATTAGGAAGTCAAAAACCCCAATAGCGGGATTCAGGAAGACGGGAGATGGGTTTCTAGAAGAAGGGGGCTATTCTCCAATCCCCGGCCGCGCCTCGAATCAGACCACTGAGAAACAGGAAGTATTCTGTCCCTTTAATAGCTTTGTTTTGGGGGTGACTCCCCTCCCCTTTTGGGTAGGGTTGGGTAGGCGCAATCCTCGGTGGGGAGCCTCAGCGACCGTGGGGGGCACCATCCACTGCAAGACAGACGATACCGATGGAGGACGTTAGTTGCGGGGCACAATCGCCTGGGCTGTGCAGGGGGCGTGCAGGGGGCGGGGCCGGGGCCGGTCGGGCTCTACCACCGGGAGGCTGAGAAGGGGGGACCGGAAGGTACCAGGTGGAGAAGCTGGTAGACATGGCCCGGCAGTCGGCGGAGCCGCCCCGAGGCGGCAGGAGGGTGGCATGGGGACGCTCATTGTCAGCATCAGGCTGAATTACCAGAAGGTATTCCTGAAGGTGGGGTGCGGGGGGGAGCCCCTGGACTGTACCATGTTGAGAAGCCAGAGAGGTGGCTGTTTAGATCTCAGGGCTGAAGGGAGCGGAGGAAGTTGGAAGGGAAGGGGATTGAACCATATTGATTCCCAGGAAAGGGGGGGGAGGGAGCTGTCAGATTATGGAACAGCATGGGGTTTACACCACGTGGGAACCGGAAATGGATCCGGATTCCACCGCTTTGGAAGAGGAACCCACAGACCCATAGGTAACCGTACCACAAAGAAGCCAGGGGTGTCGGGTTATATACCGAGTTGCACGTTACAAGCAGCGGAGAGGAAAGACAAATCATGGACCAGCAATGGTCTATGGTAGGGAGGTGGACTATAGCACGTGGACACATAGGGAGGAGGGAGTAAGAGCGAGAGAGAACTCAGGAGGCTGGACCATACGGAAGCAGCAAAGGAGGGTAGGACTTTATCATATTGGCACACCGTAGGG